ATTTATAGTTCCTTGATATCATTGTATTCTCTTGATCTTAAATTGATTTAGGGGTCATTCGGATCGAGAAATGTGGGTGCATATTTGACCCAAATTCTTGTATGTCCGGGAATTTAAAGGAAAAAATCCAAAACTACCACTGTTTTAAAAAAAAATTACAAAAATACCACCCACTCCATAAAATTTCCAAAAATACCACCCTTAATTTAAAACCGCCCTTCTAAGGAGCGGTTTACATAAAAACCGCGCCCCCAGGCGGCGGTTAAACCTTAAAACGCGCCCCCAAGGCGCGGTTTGACCATGCATGGCTGTCAAACCGCTTTGCCAGGTGGCGGTGCATCAAACCGCTCGTCCGATGAGCGATCTGACGGCTAAAATGGCTGCCAAGTAAGCGATCCGCGTCGCCCCACATAAACCGCACCCCCGAGGCGCGGTTTGACCGTTGGAAAAAGCAAACCGCCCTCCCGAGGCGCGGTTTGACTATCGGGAAAAGGAAACCGCGTGCTGGGGGCGCGGTTTTTGGTTGCGGGAATTTACCAAACCGACCCTCCCCCAGGCGGTTTGAAAGCTATATAAACCCCCCCCCACCCCCTCATTTCTGCACACCATCCACCACACTCCCCTCTCTCCCTCTAATTTCTCTCCACCCAACCCCTCCCCACACAACCTTAGAATTAGTTTTTTTGTTGGTTGCGGCCTAAGTCCGATCTGCCTCCAAAAAACTTTTCTTTGGTTTTCACTAAAAAACCGTCGAACCTCTGTCCGGATTCCGAGAGAATGGCCGATTTCGCTCAAGAAGAGGGTCTTTTTTATGATGATTATCAAACGGTACGAACTCATTTTTCCCAATTGTTGTTGTTGTTATAATGACTTATTTAATTTATATACTAATGATTTATGTTATTGTTATGCTATCGTAGGTTGGGCCGGATGTTGATATTTTCAATCAACGATATTACGTTGATCAAGGACCGATCGATCCGACAGTTTTATACGATCAAGCAAATCATCGTTCAAGAGACGTTTGGAACGACCATAAGGTACATATTATTTATCATCACTTGTAATTTGTATTTTGTTAAAGTAATTTATTTGTTGTACAATAATTTACATAATTGTTAATCGTATTGATTATTTTCAATAGTTTAAATCAATACAATACAACACTTATTGAGACTCTTTATAAAGAAATGCATGTCTAAGGAAATGGGGACTTAAGCGATCATCATGATCCCCCCATGACCTGGGAAAATCGGGTTCTAAGCGATCCTCGGATCCCCCCTTTTTCTGTCAAAAAGACTGTGTTTCTAAGGAGATGTATACCTCTCCTAAGAGTCTTACGAGTGTACTTGTATTGCTTTAAATTATTGAAAATAATCAATACGATTAACAAAATAATTTTTATGTTAGTAACTTGTATATATTCTATTAATGTTTATTAGATAATGTATATTCTATAAAATCGCTTAATTTAATATTGCATCTTAAAAAATTGGTTTAGTTATGTTAATTAGATAATGTATATTTCTATAAAATCGCTTGATTTAATTAATATTGCATCTTATTAAATTATTTTAGTTATGTTAAAATTAATGTTTATTAGATAATGTATATTTCTCTAAAAAAACCTTGATTTATATATAAATTGTATCTTATAATATATTTATATATGTATAAATCATCAATTTATAGTGAAATTTAATTTTTTCTCTAGGATGCATACCATATAGTCCGCTATAGGGGCACAACGAATGTGCTTGAATGGAACGACGTCATCTTGCCCTTTCTAAAAAGGGCAAGATTGGATTCGATTAGGCATTTCAACGGAATTAAGATCGACCGCCAACTCATCACGGCGATGGTAGAGAGATGGCGAAAGGAGACACACTGCTTCAATTTTCGTGAAGGCGAGTGCACGATCACACTTAAGGACATCGCCATCCTAACCGATCTCCCCATCGATGGTGATGTTGTTTGTGTGGACTCTACGCCACCACCTAAAGTTGTTGCCAATATGAGTGGTTGGCAACATTTTATATGGTCGGTCACCGGGTTGTGTCCGCCAGAAAAGGGAGATCACGATGCGGATGGTCATCCACCATTGTCCAAGGGCCAAGTATCCATCACGTGGTTGACGGCGGAGATCAGGCGTAAGCACAACCCTGAGTTCGGAGGCATTCCCCTCACGGAGGAAAGTTCGGAGCGCGATAAAGAAATTTATGCACGGATCTACATCCTCGGCATGATCGGAGGAGTTTTCTTCCCCAAGAAATCCAACAACCTAATCAGCAATTCATGGTTGAAGATCATACTTGGTAGTTGGGATGATATGGGAAACTTGAGCTGGGCATCTGCTTGCTTAGCCCAGCTCTACCGATCCCTATGTAATGCTAGTGCGAGAGCGGTGAAGGAGATTGATGGGGCAATGTTCATCGTCCAATTTTGGGCTTGGGAGCATTTGGAATGGATTGCGCCGAAGGTAGACCCCGACAAGGATTGGGGACCCGATCATCCCCTACGACACGAAGCTTATGGTTGTAGGTAAATATCTGCATCGAACCCATAGTTCTCACATTTTTTAACTAATTTAGTTTGTTGTAACGAGCTATTTTTTTAAGGTACTAACATTGTGAACTTGTCCATATTAATAGGTGGCTTGATGAAACAACATGCGACAATCTTGGAGCGCATAAGTTGGAGGAGTATCGTAGGAGGCTTGATCACCTATGGGAAGCAGAGGTGAGCATCATAATACGCTATTAAAACCCTACTTTTTTTAACTTATATTATTATGTTGCTTAATAGTTTTATTATTTAAACCTTTGTAGCTTAAGTTCGATCCGTATCCAGAACGGATTGTTGCGCATCACGTCCATAAGTTCCCGTTACATCCCGGTCAATGGTGCACCCGAGTTCCACTAATCTGCCACCACATAGTGGAGTGGCACTTGCCGGATCGATGTCTACGACAATTTGGACGTGAGCAATGCATACCATTGGATGTCCCGGAGAGTCAGAAGGGGTACCACGGGAAAGATGGTCGACAAGGACCTACTAATTGGCCAGAGGAGTATAAGAAATTGATCCGGCTGTGGAATGCTAGGCAAGATCAGGATATTGTGACGTCAACTCATGTGGCGCGGATGGGCTACCATGACCCATACATGGAAACCTACCGAAGACAATCTGTTCGTTACATGACTCCCGAAGGAGCGGCGGACGGAGCTTTGGTAAGAAATTAAGTTTATATTTGTTTAGTCATGCGGTGCAGTATTTTTTACCTTGTCTAACTTTGTTATTTTGTTCGATTTAGGTTGATGGGATCGAGCGAATCCACGACCTTGCACGGACCGCAGAACATTCGGCCGCGGGTCGAGAGGTGGGGATGATTCGAAGGATAGCGAACAATCTCCTTGGCTGTATGCGAGCGCGCGGACGTGACCATAGGCGATACCCTCCAGTGCCCCCAGTGAGACCGCCGTCGGTGACGCTTGATGTTGACCCGGTGCCTCCGCCGGTCCAAAGAAGGCAAAACAAAGCTGTGAGGGATCGACCTCACGTGCCGGAGATCAAACCGATTGAGGCTTGGAAGGCGCCTACTCCTTTGGAGGTGTGCAGCGGTGAATGGGGGAGTACTCAGCACGGCCCTACGCCCGGAAGCCAGTATGATCCGCGGTCAAGTTTCCAGTACACTTTCCGGCCCAGTTTCCAGTATGAACAACGTCCAACTACATTTCATGACGGCAGCTCTTCAGCTACTTGGGCCGAGGGTTCATACTCCACTCCACACCAAGACTTCTCACCTTTGCATCGACCACAACAGCAATGGCAACAACAACAATGGCAACAACAATGGCAATCCACTCCACAACAAGACTTCACACCTTGGATTCGACCACAACAGCAATGGCAACAACAATGGCAATCCTCTCCCCACCGTATGAGCATGGATAGCCCTCGGCCGCAGACGGAGGAGCCACCTATCACGGAACCGAGGCGGCATAGCACGGAGGATCGCGCTTCTACGGCGAATAGGATTCTGCCACCCGTTCCACCATCTGCGACACCCGGTGGACCAGTCGCCCATCGCACAAGGAAGCAGAGGGCAAACCGTCGAAACAATGCATGAGTTTTTTTATTTCAAGTTGTGGTGTTTGTTTAAATTAAGTGGAACAATGGTGTTTTTTTTTCAAGTTGTGGTGTTTGTTTAAATTAGGTTGAACAATGGTGTTTTTAGGTGTAGTTATGGTACAAGTTAACTTAAGTTGAACAAAGTAGTGCGTTTGAAGTCGTGATGTGTTTTATTAAAAAAGATGGAAAAATTGCACCAAAGTTTGTAAATTGTGCAAATCTCCAATGTCATTTAAGCACACAACATGCAAGTAGAGTAACCATTGAAATTAATACACACGCATACAATCAATCTAAGCGCCATTATCCGGGACATCCACATCGGGCCCAGCATTTTGAGGACCAATTGGTCCGGGACATTTTCGTTTATCATGACCGGGTACTTTACATATGGAACACCGCCTTGGCCCTCGCGGTGGTCTTCCACTCTGATCCATTTCATTTGGAATCCTTTTTCGCCGCGGGCGCCCTGTTTCCCGCCTAAGACCAATTGGTGGAATGATGACCATACCCTCATAAACTGGCCAGTAAGCTTCATCAGGCAATGCACGGAAACTAGTACGATAACTGCTCTTTTGTGAGTCAATGTTGAAGTACGGACTAACGAAATGACGAGGGTCTTTGCTCCTGTGCTTTATTGCAGCCATTGCATGAGAACATGGTATCCCTCTACCCTGATACTTCTGACAGGAGCACTCCCCCTTTTTAGTCCTAAAGTTTATGGTGACTTCATGGCGATGACCACCACGTCTCCCATCTTCCCAGTGCCCAGTCTCGACCGAATACTCGCCAGCATGACGGTTCATCACAGTGACTGTGTGACGAGAGCTCTTCCGATTATCTTTTTCCATTATTTTCAATACATAATCGGAGTGTACCTTCCCGAGCGCCTCCCTCTTCTCACACCAGTGGAGACGGTTGACGAACCATCTGTTTGTTTTCCAGAATGTCATCTCAACAATTGCAGAGATGGGGAGTGCACGACATTCCCTGTAGACGTTGTTGATACTCTCGCTTGAGTTTGTTGTGGCAATACCCCATCTGTGACCTCCGTCCTTATGAAAAGTCCACATTTCAAGGTCATGTTGATCAAGCCACTGCGCACCTTCAGGGCATATTTGACGAATATTCTGCATCTTCTCTTTAAATTTCTTCTCTTGGTAGGCGACAGCTGATGAATATAATAAAAACGTGAGAAAAGCAAGATCGACTTAAAAGCCAATACACTCAATACTTGTATACAGTTTTACAAATTTACATCATATGCTAATTTGAACGCTTACCAATCCACCATAGACTGTCAGCAAGCTTCCTTCGCTTGAAATGATGGTTCCAGTTGCTCTTGAAATGCCGGATGCACCATCTCTGTGACCAGTTCCATGCTGGATCCAAGCCTAAAATAGCAGCCCGTATCCCGGCGTGGCGATCTGAGATGATAGTCAAGTTCGTCCGTCTGGTGACATGGAGCTGAATTTGTCTGAAGAACCATCCATAGCTATCGGTATTCTCTCCCTCCACGATGGCAAAGGCTAATGGATATACTAATCGATTTGCATCTGCTCCGCTGGCAATCAGTAGAGTACCCTTGTACTTGCCGGTAAGGAATGTTCCATCAACTTGAATCACAGGAACACAGTATGGGAAACCATCAATACATGGCTTGAAGGCCCAGAAAAGACGCTTGAATTGACGATTGTTACCAGCAACCGGCGATTGAATTTCTTCATCTTGGTAGCGAGGCGAGAAAATGGTTCCAGGGTTAGACACCTCCAACGCCAAAATCAGTTTGGGAAGGAATGCATATGATTCTTCCCAGTCCCCAAACACGGCAGCCATTGCTTTCTGTTTCCCATGCCACGCTTTCTTGTAGTTAATGATATAACCATAACGACTAGAAATGTGGGCGATGATGGTTTTCACCTTCAGGTCGGGCTGCTCCTCAATTAGATGTTTGATAGCCGCGGCAACCACCCTTGATTTCAACTGTCGATGGCCTTGTGATGTTATTGATGACACACATGTGTGTGTGTTCACCGCACGGGATATGACCCAATGACCGACTCTCTTGCTCCTGATGGCCCGGACCCTAGCTGTGCATCCCTCATTGTGGTTTCTGCATCGAACCATCAGCCTCTTTGTGTCGGAATGGGTTGTCTGCCATTCAAAACTCCGAGTCATTGCTTCAGCTTCAATAGCGTGTCGAACCTCATTCTTCGTTGCAAATTGTTGCCCCTTCGTAAAGCCAGTTAGTGGACCCCATAATGGCACATCTGGCGGGTCCATGTCGGCATCAACATACCAATCTTCACTTTGAAGTTGATTGTAGTATGGAATAGGTACACGGTCGTGAGGTACCTCATCACCATCTGCGTCTGAATCTGGACCGGAATCATCAGCACCTTCCAGCGGATCGGAGCTGTCTGCACTAACTTCGCCTTCCTCTTCTTCAACCTCATGGTCACTAACTGGACTTGGATTGACCTCTTCTTCCATCTGATTTTCAGCATGAAAGGCACCTTGACCTCCACTAGCTCCGTAATGGTAGTTGTGGTAACTAACACCGCTTTGATAGAAGTTGTACTCGGGTGGGTACTGGTAGACTGCTTGTTGGTTGTAATCCGCCTGTTGAGCTTCTTGTTCATAGGAATGGAAGGATTGATGACTTCCTCCAGTTCCATGATGATACTCCTGACTCCAACTCGAGGTTTGGAAATCCTGGTGGGGAGTATCTTCGTATAATACACTCCCACCGTGGATACCAGATGTTTGGCCATCTCCAGAATGACCTACACTGCCTTCGACGGCCTCGGTGTAAACGAACATCTCCGCTTGCTTAATTGTATTGGTGGTCAAAAATTGGACCATGGCATCAACGTCCTCCTGAGTGTTAAGGAGGAATTCCTCATGCCACAGGGACCCGTGATGTCTGTTTGGATATCGATACACCATTCGATCAACTCTTCTACTGCCATCCATGCAGGTAATCTGAGTGCACTGACGGTGGAGCTCTTCAAGCATCGGTCTCGTACGGACCTTCATTTTATGAAAATTGCCACCGACGTAACTTACACCCTTTTCGGTCTCTTCCGTGTAACCATTCCACCGCAACCCAAGCGTGAACCTTTGGAATGCCATCTGCAATGAAAAGTAACACAAGTTACTAACATAACAACACAAAGAAAAATGAAAAGTAATTCAAATTACTAACATAAAATCACAAATGACAATGAAAAGTAACACAAGTTACTAACATAAAAATTATTTTGTTAATCGTATTGATTATTTTCAATAATTTAAAGCAATACAAGTACACTCGTAAGACTCTTAGGAGAGGTATACATCTCCTTAGAAACACAGTCTTTTTGACAGAAAAAGGGGGGATCCGAGGATCGCTTAGAACCCGATTTTCCCAGGTCATGGGGGGATCATGATGATCGCTTAAGTCCCCATTTCCTTAGACATGCATTTCTTTATAAAGAGTCTCAATAAGTGTTGTATTGTATTGATTTAAACTATTGAAAATAATCAATACGATTAACAATTATGTAAATTATTGTACAACAAATATACATTATCTAATAAACAAAGGACAATGAAAAGTAATTCAAATTACTAACATAAAATCACAAATGACAATGAAAAGTAATTAAGTTACTAACATAACATCATAAAGGACAATCAAACGTAATTAAGTTACTAACATAAAATCACAAAGACAATGAAAAGTAATTACGAAACAAACTTACGAATTAACGTTAATCGCAAAAACTAAATAATTTAAAGGTGCAAAGCTGAAATTTGAGGATTTTTGTGTGAATTGAGGAAGGAAGTGTGAAGAATTGTGTTCTCCGAAACAGCCTTTTATAGGCAAATTTTGCACCAAAACCGCTTGGGGGGGGAGCGGTTTTGGGTCTGCCATGCAGCCCTACCCCTGCATGCCGACATGTCGGATGTCGGGTGACCAGGCACAAACCGCGCCCCAGAGGAGCGGTTTGTGTCCTGACAATGTAAACCGCCCCTTCCCCAGGCGGTTTGCATGCCGACAATAAAACGCTCCCCCTACCAGCGTTTTTTACCCTATAACCGCGCCTCGCACAAGCGGTTTAGTCCAGGAAATGAAAACGCTCCTCCGAGGAGCGGTTAGAATGAAAAACGCCTCTTAGAGGCGCGGTTTCATTGAAAACCGCTCAACAGGGGGGCGGTTTTAAATTAAGGGTGGTATTTTTGGAAATTTTATGGAGTGGGTGGTATTTTTGTAATTTTTTTTTAAAACAGTGGTAGTTTTGGATTTTTTCCATCCCACCCCACCTTTTTCTTTTCACGTGAATCACTCTTTCCCACTCCCACCACTTACTTTATCTCTCTCTTTACCTATTTGTCTCTCTCTCCTCATAGCACAAATGCAACCACGATCTCTCCTCCCCTCTCTTGGTCTCTGGACTCGGCGGCAACATACAACGATGGCGAGAACATGCGAGTCAAAACAGGCGACGATGGCGACTGACGGAGAGAACTCAGGGGTAGGCGGCGATGGTGCGAGCAGATTCAGAGACGGAGAGCGTGCAGATTCAGATGGCGATTGACGAAGTGAGTCAACCACTAGCTCCCTCCTTGATTTTGATTTTTGCATGTTGCCGTCAGTAGCCGCTGGATTCCGATTTCTGATTTTTGCCTATTATTCTTGCTTCTTCTTCTTCTTCCTCCTCTTCAATGAGGGCTTTTAGGGTTTCCAGGCAGTGAAGGAGGTGAGATGGCGACATAGCGTGAAGGAGAAGAGGGTGGAGGCGATGGCCGATTTGATGGAGTCCGTCGGAGAGCCGAAAGGCAGGGGAGTGCGAGGGATGTGAGTCGTCGCGGGGAATGGCGGCCGCCGAACGGTGTGGCAGCAGCGGCGGCCACTTTGTGGTTTTCATTTGGGAATTGGGAGGGGGCCTTAAGGCTTAAGGGTTGGGCTAGGGTTTTGCTATGAATTGTGGGCTGTGGGGAGTGGATTGTTGTGGGCTGTGAGGTATAATAGTGGGCTTTGGGTTTTTTTTAATTGTAATAACTGTGGGCTTTTAGGTTCATTTGAGTTGTTGTGGGTCTATTTCGGAATTTCGGTTCGGAACTCGGAACCTAGGTTCAGTTGGATGAACCCTGGTTTCCGAAGTATGAACATTTTCTTTCCGAATTCCGAACCGAACAGCCATATTTCGGTTTCGGTTCGGTTCACCTCGGTTTCGGTTCGGTTCGGTTCGGGTTTACCGAACCGGATGCCCACCCCTACCACACGGCCGTGTGGCTCACCACTTTGCCCGTGCGAGTCGAAACGCAGCGTAAGGATTAGTTCGGTCTTCAGCCATCTCACACGGCCAGGGTTGCACGATCGTGTGAATTTCCTGGGATGCCCGTGTTTGGCCTCGGCAAAAATCACACGGCCACAAGTGCAATTTGCACGGCCGTGTGATACCCACTTGTGCCCGTGTTTGCTCTCGCACAATCCCACACGGCCTGGCTTGTCACTTGCACGGCCGTGTGATGCCCCGGTCTGCCCGTGCGGCTTCCTTGAAACCTCGCCATTCGTCCGATCTTCGCCCAATCGACCCCAAACTCGCTCCCAAGCCTCCATTCACGTACTAGTACCTGAAATATCACCAACAAGCACAACCTAGCGTGAAATCGGCCTAAAACACGAGAATCAATACCTCAAACGGTGTAAGAACGGGGGTAAAAACATGTGTAAATAACGGTCTATCACTCGTCTATGTTGACGATATAGTCATCACCGACAATTGTACTCCTCTTCTTCAGAAACTTATGGTGTATCTCCAAGCTCGCTTTGCACTTCGAGATCTTTGTCCCCTATCCTATTTTCTTGGTATTGAAGTGCATCGCTCCGACAATGGGATCATTCTTAGTAAACGGAAGTTCATTCTGCAGCTCCTTGACCGTGCCAAAATGACCTCTGCCAATGCCATCTCCACTCCGTCCACACTTGACAATATTCAGCTCAGTGCCGCAGATGCTTCTCCTTCGTTTAATGATCCTGCACTCTATCGCAGTTTGGTTGGTGGTCTGTAGTACCTGAGTTTCACTAGGCCTGACATATCATTCACCGTCAATCACGTTTCTCAGTTTTAGCACTCTCCCACCGAGGCGCATTGGGCTGCTGTCAAACGCATATTGCGTTATCTTCGTGGCACCGTCAGTCGAGGTTTGCACATTCTCGGTCTCGAACTCTTCATATACACAGTTACTTCGACGCTTCATGGGCATCCTGTCCTCAGGATCGGAAATCAATCACTAGGTTCGCTGTTTATTATGGCTCTAATCTTGTGTTGATGTGACATGAATCGGACTATCAGCCGCTGCGACTGGTCCATGGTGTATGGGCTCAATGTCATTTGGGTTCGGATTTTGGGCCTGGTCTGTAACCGTTTCCTTTGCCAGATTGGATTAGGTTTAGACCCACATGGAGAAGTACTATAAATACTTCTCATACTCCTCTGTAATCTGTAATTTCCTCGATATAGTGAAACTGGCTCTCTCTTGCCCGTGGACGTACCTAACACACATCGTGTTAGTGAACCACGTAAATCGTGTGTCTGTGTTTTTCGATTCTCGCTTTCGTATTCTTGCTTTATCGATTCCGGCGATTTCTCGATTCGTAGAAGCGCGTTTATAACAAGTGGTATCAGAGCCTGGTTGGAAATCAGGCAAGGGTTTTCGATTCAGAAGAATGACGTTGGTTGACATGAAGATCGAAAAGTTCACGGGGAAGAACAGCTTTGTTATATGGCAGATCAAGATGCAGGCTTTGTTAAAACAGCAAGGGCTGTGGGGGCCGCTGTCTGCGAAACAGAAGAAGGCAGC